CGAGAAAACCAACTCGCTGGGCCAGAAGCTGCCCCAGAAGGGGGACGTGGAGATGCTCTGCGGGGGCCCCCCCTGCCAGGGCTTCAGCGGCATGAACCGCTTCAACTCCCGCACCTACTCCAAGTTCAAGAACTCCCTGGTGGTCTCCTTCCTCAGGTGAGCGCTGGGGAGGGGGGTTTTGGGGCGGGGGAGGCCCCTCCCCACCCCGCCTCCAACGTGCCCCTGCCCCCTGTGCCCGGCAGCTACTGTGATTATTACCGGCCCCGCTTCTTCCTGCTGGAGAACGTCCGGAATTTCGTGTCCTTCAAGCGTTCCATGGTGCTCAAGCTCACCCTGCGCTGCCTCGTCCGCATGGGCTACCAGTGCACCTTCGGGGTGCTCCAGGTGGGGCTGGGGGGGGTCTGGGGGGGAAAAAACCCCCTTTTCTGGCACCTGGGCCCACCCTGGGTCGTCCCGTCCCGAGGGTGAGTTGGGTGGGTGGCTCCTTGGGTGGCTTTGGGGACATTCCCAGAGGAAGGGACCTGGTCCTTCAGGAGAGCAGTTGCTTCCTTGGGTGGCTTTGGGGACGTTCCCAGAGGAAGGGAACTGGTCACTTGACTCCTTGGGTGGCTTTGGGGACGTTCCCAAAGGAAGGGACCTGGTCCTTCAGGAGAGCAGTCGGTTCCTTGGGTGACCTGGGGGCATTCCCAAAGGAAGGGAACTGGTCACTTGACTCCTTGGGTGGCTTTGGGGACGTTCCCAAAGGAAGGGTCCTTTAAAGGACCACTTCACCCCTGGGGTGACCCGGGGCCATTCCCAGCTCTCCGAGGACTCCCCAGTTCCCCCAGGAATTGTCCCTTCCCGTTCCAAAGAACCCCCTGTGCTTCCCCCGTTCCCACCTGTCCGAGGTCGCCCCCCGGTGCCCTCAGGAGGTGTCCCCTGTCCCCCCAGGCCGGGCAGTACGGGGTGGCCCAGACCCGGCGCCGGGCCATCGTCCTGGCGGCGGCTCCGGGCGAGAAGCTCCCGATGTTCCCGGAGCCGCTCCACGTGTTCGCGCCGCGGGCGTGCCAGCTCAGCGTCGTCGTGGACGACAAGAAGTTCGTCAGCAACATCACCAGGTGAGGCCCCGGGGCCACCACCGGGCTGGGGACGGGAGGTCCCGCCGGCTCACGGCTCCCCCCTCCCTCCCCCAGGACGTATTCCGGGCCCTTCCGCACCATCACGGTGCGGGACACGATGTCGGACCTGCCGGAGATCCGGAACGGGGCCTCGGCCCTGGAGATCTCCTACAACGGGGAGCCCCAGTCCTGGTTCCAGCGGCAGATCCGCGGCTCCCAGTACCAGCCCATCCTCAGGGATCACATCTGCAAGGTGGGGCGGGCGCGGGGGTGGGCTGGGAGCAACTGGGAGCAACTGGGGGCAACTGGGGGCAACTGGGAGAGGGTCGAGGGTGCTCCCGGGGGAGGGATTGTCCCCAAGGTATCTCAGAGTGACTGTCCCAAAAATGGGGCTGGGGGAGGTGTTGGGAACTGGTGGAGCTGCTGGGAACTGCTGGAGGTGTTGGGAACTGGTTGGGAACTGGTGGAGCTGCTGGGAACTGCTGGAGGTGTTGGGAACTGGTTGGGAACTGGTGGAG